ATAATAATAATAATAATAATAATAATAATAATAATAATAATAATAATAATAATAATAATAATAATAATAATAATAATAATAATAATAATAATAATAATAATAATAATAATAATAATAATAATAATAATAATAATAATAATAATAATAATAATAATAATAATAATAATATAATAATAATAATAATAATAATAATAATAATAATAATACAATATTAATAATAATAATAATAATAATAATAATAATAATAATAATAATAATAATAATAATAATATAATAATATAATAATAATAATATATAATAATAATAATAATAATAATAATAATAATAATAATAATAATAATAATAATAATAATAATAATAATAATAATAATAATAATAATAATAATAATAATAATAATAATAATAATAATAATAATAATAATAATAATAATAATAATAATAATAATAATAATAATAATAATAATAATAATAATAATAATAATAATAATAATAATAATAATAATAATAATAATAATAATAATAATAATAATAATAATAATAATAATAATAATAATAATAATATAATAATAATAATAATAATAATAATAATAATAATAATAATAATAATAATAATAATAATAATAATAATAATAATATAATAATAATAATAATAATAGTAATATTAATAATAATACTAATAATAATAATAATAATAATAATAATAATAATAATAATAATAATAATAATAATAATAATAATAATAATAATAATAATAATAATAATAATAATAATAATAATAATAATAATAATAATAATAATAATAATAATAATAACAATAACAATAATAATAATAATAATAATAATAATAATAATAATAATAATAATAATAATAATAATAATAATAATAATAATAATAATAATAATAATAATAATAATAATAATAATAATAATAATAGTAATAATAATAATAATAATAACTATTTTTCACAAATATCCCCCTAAAAGTATGCTACACCACTCTAATTTGCATACCGATATCATTTTATTATTTCAACGGTTTTATTCCATCTCTACATCACATTCACTATCTACTCTCCTTATTTTGCCCATTAAAAGGTATTTTTTAATGGATTATAATTAAATGTTACTTAAAAAAAAACATTCGATTTTAACAAGAATTAGTTCAATTGTTGCTCTTCTTCTTCTTATAATGTATGGTGAAACAAATGCCAAAAACAAAGAGGCTAGTAATTTACAGTACTCACATGCACTGTGAGAACACTGGAGAATTACCCACATTCAACCGTATGCATTGTAGTTGTAATAGCATTAACGCATCCAAGTGTGAGCGAGGGAGAGGGAGAAATCACGTTGCATTTCCTTTTGGTGGCATATTTTATATATGCCTTTTAACAACTGGCAATACGAAAGTAAAATTGCATTAAATGGAACTTAAAATGCTCGGAAATGATACTTTTTATTTGCTTACCTACCACTAACTAACGCGCCATCTGTTTCTTCCTTATTCGCTTTTATCTCTCACTGTGAAAACACAGTCACAGTGACAAGACAAAATCCCAATGACTTACAATCCTTTGGCATTACAGTTTGAGAAGCTTTGATTGTCACATATGAAAACGTTCGTTATAATACCTAGATGGCGCCATTCAAAATTTGTCAAAGTAGTTCGAAAATGATAATGCCAAGCAATAGTGGTTTGAAAGGCATTATGTAACAATAATGATAATATATTTTATGACATATAGATGGCGTCACGCGAAAATTATGTCATATTAACAAGTAGCATTTATGAAATAGTTAAATCAGGCAATAATGATATGCAAATGGAAATGATTTGCGTTTTCACTTGTCCACACACACTGTTACTAATTGAAACTACCTTTTTCAGTCTACATTAAGAGAACTTAAGAGTAATTTACTTTTAACAGTGCCATGTATGGGATGTTGTTTAAGGGCCGTTTTTTAATAAAATGTGTCAAGGTAAGCGGTGACGTGTAGAGGGCGTCTGGAGGAAAAATAATTTCATATCTTTCATTTGGGTAGACAATGATATTTACGGGAAATAATGATTCAAAGAAAAAACAAAACGTCTATGTTAGTATAAAAAATATGAAATATAGAGGTCTCAGGACTGACATGATTGTTACCCTCCTTTTTTGTAAATAATTACTGGACAAATTAATTAATTAATTAATGTCACAAAATATGTCATGCGAAGACTTCAAGTTGCTTATGTACCCACACTTTGAAGCTACAATTTTGCCGAGCATCAGTCTGGGTGCGTAGGCGTGTGATGAGTTGGATTCGGAGATGTGTACTATAACTGTACGAAAAGTATTAAATAGTACTAAATTTTGTATTGGGTGAAGGAATAGGGATGAAATCCTCAAATTTCATATTGAGGTCTCTGTTGGTATCTGGGATTGGGATATGGAGGTGGAGATACTTACTATGAACGTACGAAAAGTACTAAATAGTACTAAATGTGGTATTGGGTGAAGAAATAGAGCTAAAATCCTGAAATTTGGAAAAATTTCAATGGCCGAATTTAACATGTTTTCAAAATCATCCTCTGCATCCTTTTTACAGCGGGGACCTACACAGACCATTTCCTTAATGACAAAGGATTTAAATTCCTAAATCTGAAGGATTCCATTTTCTTTGAATCCCCTTGCATTCTACAAACAATTTGTAAGTCCTCTTGTCCTTTAAAATATTCCAATGAATTTTGTTCGCCATCGGCTGTGGTTATTTGTTGTGACACAGGTTTTGTTCCTCACTCAATTTTTTTCCCTGGAATAAGATTTAAGTTAATCTGCTTGCCGTTCTATTCATTTTAAACCATGGACATAAAAGAATATTGTTTTGCGTTGCTAAGCCATGTCTTATGACTTGTAGGGAAATTCCAGATTGTAGTAAGTGATGTCGGTAAGGTGTACCCTCTCTTTTGTTTAAACATCTATGGAAATACTTTGGAGTATCTATAATCCATAGACGAGTTTTGGAATGTCTGATTTTTTTTTATTTTAAAATATAAACATTAAAATTTGTAATTTCAATAATTTAAATGTACAAATATACAAATTTTTAATAGATTTTGAATTTTTTCAATTCAGATATTTTCCAATAAACCAACAAACATTTGAAGTTTGTAATTTCAAACATTTAAATTTACCAAAATAAAATGTTTGAAAGATTTTGAATTTTTTTATACAGACATTTTCCAACAAAACGACAAACATATAAGTTTGTAATTTCAAAAATTACAATTTTCAATACATTTTGAATTTTTCAGAAAACATATACATTATGTGATTTTAAAAATTTTAATTTAGAAAAATACAATTTTTCAATACATTTTGCATTTTTCAATTCCAATATTTTCCAATAAAACTTAATTTTATCTTACATTTCTTTGGTATTTTGTAAAAATATTTGTTGGAAAGATGTATTTCAAATATATTATTAATATTTATAAATCTTTACATTTTTAATGAAACTTCCGGAATATAAGTTTTAAATTTTTTTTCAATATAAATCTGAATTTTAAGAAAAAAAATTGTGAAAATGTGTTTAAGTATCGGAATTTTTAGGAATTTTCAAAGTGAATTTTTACGAATATTTTCTGAATAAATTTCAAATTTTCAATAAATTTCCGATTTTTTTAAGAATTTATATAAAAAAAATACAATAAATTTTTTATGAAACATCTCGAATTTTATTTTATTATTTATTTATTTTATTCTATTTTTTTTGTATCATATATCTGTATTTGAAAACAAATTTTCAAGAAAAATATAATGTGAAAATGTATTTAAATATCTGAAATTTTTAAGAATTTTTAAAATGAATTTTTAAAATATTTTCTAAATAAATTTCAAATTTTCAAATTTTGGATTTTTTTTTTTTTTTAATAAATTTCTGATTCTTTGCTTGAAATATGTTTAGGATTTATTTAATTAAAATACATTTCCTATTTTTTTAAGAATTTTCAATATGAAGTATTCCTAAATATTTTCTAAATAAAATTTAAATTTTTGAAATTTTTTTAATTCATTTTGCGTTATCTGCTTCAAAATTTTATTAGGATTTATTTAATTAAAATAAATTTCCAATTTCTTTAAAAATTTATATAAAAAATCTATTCTTAAAAGTCTTCATATTTTCAAATTCAAATTTTGATTTTTTTGGTAATTTTTTTAAACACATTTTGGATTGGTTGCTCCAAAAATTTTTTAGGATTTATTTAATTAAAATAAATTTCCGATTTTTTTTAAGAATTTTCGATATGAAGTATTCCTAAATATTTTCTAAATAAAATTTTAAATTTTGAAATTTTTTAAATTGATTTTGGGTTACTGCTCCAAAAATGTTATTAGGATTTATTTAATTAAAATAAATTTCCGATTTTTTTAAGAATTTAAATAAAAAATCTAGTTTTAAAAGTCTTCAATTCATGGTGGGATTTCCCCCCTTCCCCCCAAAGTGTCCCCATTTATGTATGTCAAGCATTCCACTTTATTAACCCATCAAACAAAAGCAAAAAAACCAACAATAACCTGTCCTTAATTTAATTAAACCACTTCTGTGTCACTCTCTCTCCCTCCCCTTTAAGGATATGCCAACCATACAAAGGTATCGCATTACACTTGCGCAGTTGCTTTGTTCTCCATTCCTTATTCAGTTCATACAAAACAGAATGTGGGTATTGTAACTTCCTGGAAATTGGTAATCATCAATGTGGTTTAGTGGGGCTTTTTTTACAGGAACTTGTCTCTGCCGAAGACCGGCCTTTTGTTTGGCAGAGACATTTTTTTTTTGGTGTTGAGAAGGAGAGGGGACATATGCTGCTGGTTGGTGCCCGAATGTCTTCTGCGTTTCTCCATTTTTTTTTTGTTCTCTTCTTCTTTTTTTTTTTGTCATTTGATATTTGTTTTATAAATTCACAAAACAATTTCCAAAAGCAAAGCAGAATTCCAGAAGTACAAGACCAGACATTTGTATTGAAATTTAGCTCTTGAAACACAACAAAATATTTCTTTTGTTTTTTTAAGAACTTTAATGTACGCGTCGTTATTTATCCACCCCCTATTCCGCTGGTGTCTGTATAGCTTCAATTAATCCCCTTGGCATTTCATATTTTTGATTGTAAACTTTGAATTTTCTTATTGGAGCCGGATACAGGGGACCGTGTCTTGTCTCAATTTGTTCACAGGCAAATTTGTCGTTGAGAAATCTGGAAATGAAAAATTATTTGAGGTTAGGTTAACTTCCAAAAAAAAAAAAATCAAATTGACTTACTTAACATCATCCCGGGTCAAGGCCACACGTATGGTCCAAAGTACTTCACATGTGAAACCGACCAATGTTATTATTCCAATGGGTATGACCTGGAATTTAAAAAAGAAAAATTTAGTAAAATTTTAATAAATCAACTATTTTTGAGACTTTTCGAAATTATATACTTAAAATATTTATTTCAATATGAAATAATGACCTTAGATTAACACATTTTCCATTTACACAATTTATTTTCCATTTCCCAGTCGCTATTTAATGCAATTTTCCCAAAAGATAAATTAATATATTTATCCCCAACGGTTTTACGTTAACCAAACGTTTACGATACGTCTTTACTAATCCCTGACAAAGGAAGACATTGCAATTTACTACACTTTCATGCAACCCTGTGTTGTTGTTGTCTCAACCACTGACCACTGAGAGAATTACGCTTGCGCCTCTCATCAAAACAAATCATTCGTAAATTTACTCTCAAAGGGATACGACGCAGGATTAGGCTCCTGACGAAACAAAACGAACGAACGAAAAAAGGACAACACAAAGAAAAAAATAATATTAAAATAAAAAACAATTTATTAAATAAAATACATTCCATATAATTAAAGAAAAGTTTATAAATAAACCGTTATTAGAAACACTCTCAAAGAGACCGAAAAAAATCAAAATAAAAAACCGTTGCATATTTCATTCCAAGTGTTTGTGTGTGTGTGTGTGAGGCCAAGAAGTGACTTTACCTTTATTTCTTTTTGTTGTTGTGGTACCTTAGCAACCAGCAAACATTGATTTGTTGTTGAAAGCGCGTAGTTTTTGTTTATTTGAAGTTGCTAACAAACAAAAAACCAAGGAAATACGGGCAGGACGTTTGCTTTCTTTTATTAATCATCGAAGAGCATTACGAAAAGTGCTCAAAGGAAACAATATAGACTTTTCAAAATTACAATTGCACATAACCTAGAAATTCTTTTAAATTGTGTGTTTGGGCGTACGTGAGATAAAACAAAAACCATCACCATTCATTTACAACAGGAAATGCACGCTCTTAAAGAGGGAGCCACCATGTTACAACATCATCCAACATCCTTGCCACCACCCATGGTACCACGTATTAAAGATGAACCAACGCAAAATTTCTTTTATCCCCACAGCAATCCCATTGATAATGCTGCCGCAGCAGCTGCTGCCGGTCTGGGCCTAATAGATCCACATCACAATCGTGAATTGCACAATGCATTGGTGGCTTCGATAAATGGTAATGTGGCTGCGGCCGTCAATGGTTCTCTGACAACATCGGCTGTTTTAAAAAGTGCCTCGGTTGCTGCCGCCCAACAACAACAGCAGCAGCAGCAAGCTAACAGCAATGCCGTAACACAGCAACAACAACAGCAGCAGCAACAACAACAAAACCAACAGAATTCAAATACCAACTCCAATAACAACAATTGCCCACAACAGCAGCAGCAACAACAACAGGGCGCCCAGACCCCACAGCAACAACAACAGCAGGCTGCCAACAATCAATCCGGCAATATGGTCATCAACGGTGGCGGTGCTTCCAACGACATGTCTGTTGTTAAATACTCATCATCGGGTCGCTCCACCCCCAGTAATAGCATCAATGGTTCAGCCGGTACAGATCCTGCCCCTGGCAAACTGTTTGTCGGTGGCCTTAGCTGGCAGACATCGGCTGAAAAGCTCAAGGAATACTTTAATATGTTTGGCACTGTCACCGATGTTCTCATCATGAAGGATCCTGTCACCCAGGTAAGCGCATCTTTTGTTCCCAGTATTCTATTTGTATTTTATTCATTTTGATTTTGCTTTTACATCGAATTTTTTTTTACTTTATTCTGCTGGCTTGCTGCCTTCATTCTATGGCAAACAAACTGCTTTATTTTACTTTGATATCTTTTATTTTGTTTCCCATGTTCTTTTTTGGAGTTTTCTTCCATTTCCCTGTTGTTATCAGCAAAAGAAAAGTGAACATTTAAGTTTTCTTCATAATTTTCTTTGATGGTTTGGTGCCCACCTAGACATCGTGATGATGACGAGGACAAGCAACAACAGTAATTTGAAAATGATGATACGTCATTTTTTTGGCCAGGGGCCTATCTGTTCTTTGTGTTACTTGCTTTTACATCCATCATCTGTTATTTATCAATTTATTTGTATTTTGTTTTACTTTATTTTCTTGAATTGTCTGTCTTTAGGTTTCTATTCCAATTTCATTATCATTTTTCTACCTTTGTTTTTGTTTGAGACCTTCTCAATGAGGAGATATACATCAGCTGCTCATTTTGTTGGTGTCATCGTCTCTACCTTACATTGTTTTTGTTTTTGTCCTTGGCAATATGTCACTTTGTTTGCCAAGTCTGGCCTTTGGCTTGGTCTACTAATCTCTTGCAGTTGCACTCTCAATATTGTCACTCTAACTCTCTCTACCTGTGATTTGGTGTACTTTTATGTGCTGCCCATAATCTCTCTCACATCATTAATCTCTTGTAGAGGTAAACGCATGACAATGACTTTTGTAGGTGACATTTGAACAAAGAAGACATTGGTGCAGCTGATCAATTGTTTCAATAGATGAAAAATTTAGAAAATTTAAGTATATTATGGAAGAAAATGCAAAAAATATGAACAATTGTGTAAAAGGAGAATGTAAACGATAAAAAAGGTCTTAATGGAAAAAAGAATGTAGAGAAAATTTGCATCAAAGGCATGAGTCCATTTAGAAGTGGCAATCATTTGACATGTGCAAAAGAATTCCTTGCAGTCGACTGATTGAATTTGTTTTAGCAAAAGAAAGTTTGTAAAATTTATGAAAGAAAATGCAAAAATAATGAGCAGTGGAGCGGAAAGTAAATTAAAAAATCCTAAGGACACGATAGATTGAGTAATTTGAAGGAAAGGAGTCTCAACGATTTCATGGTTTGGAAAGATGGTTAAAATGACTTGAAAGCTTAGAATATTTATAGCACAGAATTTAATAGAAGAATAAGTCGTTGGATCGTTGGTAGGTATGATACCTGAATAGTCTTTATCATGAAAAGTTCATAAACAGTTTGATTCAGGTAATTGCTGAAAAATCCAATGTGACACGGATAGAACGATTAGATTCAGGGCGATTCCTAGGCAAATACTGTACCAGTGTTAAGCCAGAGTTTTGTATGTCCTATCTTGAAGGAGGATAGTTTACCATATTGGAAAATAGGTCGTTCGGAATGAGTGAGATTTGGTAAGCTTGTCCATTAACTTGATTCCATTAACTAATATATTTTGTTTAAAATAGCAGATCCAACAATTTGTAGTGTGCTGGCATTATAGATTTCATGTTCATGGCATTTTATTAGACCATAGCCGAAAATCAGATCTAGCCAATAATAAGCACATATTGGGAACCAATATTGTTCAACGTACAATATGCCTAGCTATACCTTTGAGGGAGTATCGGTATTAAAATTATTTTATTTTGAAATTAAAATAATTTCAATTATTATTTCATGTCTAATTAGGTCTTACTTAGGTCATTCGCATATATGAGCAACTTAAGCCCAAAACGAAATTGAGCAGAGCATTTACCTAAATACTACCCCGCAGAAGGAAATATAAGAATCGTTTGATACGTATACTTTTAGTAGTCTTTTTTAAAAACAAATTTCTTATCAAAGTAATTTCAGGACGCATTTTGGGTTATTTTCCTTTAAGTGGTTCTCTTATATAGGTCCCAACAAATACCTAATACTGGAAGTATCTCTTACAAACAGAGGTGTATGTTTGGTCCTGTTTAAACTGAAGAAAATATCCTGCCATATACAGAGGGTAACAAAGTAAATGGTTTCATTAAGTATATCTGGTGCCAATATCTACCCCAATGTCCATGCCGCTACCAGGATCAGAAATATTATCAAATTTAAGGAACTGAAACTTGTGAATTTCGTTCCATGTTTCATTCCCCCTTGACTAACAAATTTTCAACAACAGGTGTTCCTTTCAAACCATAAGCCACTAAAACTGTTTTTGATATTGTTACTTAAACGCATCATTTAGCACGAGCTACAAGGTAACCCAAAAACAATAAAAAACGAAACACGACATATAAAACGCGTGTTTCCCGTTTACTAAGTTTGGTGACTTTTCAACAAGACTTTAGCAAAATGTATTTTATACCAAAACTGAAATCAATAACGTTACCTGGTAAATTAAAACAGGATCGTGGACGCACACACAGGCACACATGCGCCCCGTACAAATTCAAAGGAACAACAACTGTTTTAATAAGCGAAACGGCAGATGTTTGATGCAGACAAAAGGATCTAGCATACTAAAAATGTGTGTGTATATCCTGCTGCTGCCAGCCACCGAGCCAGTCAGTCAGTCAGCCAGCTTGCGAGTTGGTTGGCCCTTTTATGTGTAGCATAAAGATCACAATATTCAGGTTTTTGGACAAATGAATTATAGGCACACAGCTGTTCATATTTTGCATTTTTTTTCCTTTTTGAGTAGGTTTCTACACAGGATTCTGTTATTTTATATTGTTGGCAATTTGACAAAGGTAAAATGGTGAATGTATTGGTTGAGGAGGAACTGAGAGAAGAGGGATGCTACCTCCTAAAATGTTTGCTTTCATTGTTTCGAAATAACAACAACGAGAAGGGTAGATGACACCACAGTATGAGAGCTGGGACGATTTTTGAAAACAATTCGATATAGGACACTTTGAATAACATAGCTAACGGGTTCCTTCTTTTCTTTTGTACTTTAATTTTTTTTTGCATTTTCTATGATTTTGTTTGCTAATGCCTTTGTTTTCATCATGCCATAACAGGGAAAACAAGAATTTCTATTTCTTTTTTGTTTTGGTTTTCTATTTTTCCGAATATCTTAAGAAAATATACATCTTGCTCGAAATGATAAGGGTCGTATGAAAAGAAATCTAAAGGAAAAAAATACGAAACCTTTCTAGAAAAAAAAAAAAAAACGAATAAACAAAAGAATAGCGCAACTAGTCTGTAAGTTTCCCATGAGAAATTCAAACAAAGAAACAACTTTCCAATCATAGTTTAGAGTATTTATTGTATTTCGTATACTAATTAAGCATAGCGTAAACTTAAAACTTGTATATCCTGCTATTTATTCACAACCAATAATACCTAATAATAGATAAAAAAAATAATTCAACTTTACTTCAATCATCATGGAAAACTCTAAACACACAAATGGCAAAATTGCAATTTTGTATAGCCCCTAAAGCAATTACAACACAATGGAAGCAGCATTTGTGGTCACAGGATTCGAATGGCAAAGGATAAAACCCCCAGAAGAAAACAAACTATAACGAAATGCATAAAACTATTATTTATTGTGGCCTGGTTTCTTCGTACCTGATGGCTGCTGACAAATTTCTATGGATGATGAATGGGAAGAGAGCACACAACAGAACACACGTACACATGGCGATCTGATAAAATAAATGGCGGCAAATAAATAACAGCTGCCGCCGATGCAAACTGCTTGGAATGCTTACACCGTTGTTTATGCAGTTCTATTGTTGTTAATTATTTGTACAATGTAAACTACGCCGGCCAATCGAAAAAAAGGGGGGAATAACAAAAAAAAAAAAAAAGCCCATACAAAGACACGCAACAGGATAAGAATGTCCTCTTTTGTTAACTGACGGAACCTGGAACATAGTTTTATGCAAGCTGCAATTCGTGTCTTCTTCACAATGAAACCAAAAAAAAAACTGGATTTCCTGTTATCCTTTTGTTTTGCTCATCCGCAACCAGCAGCACATGCTAAGACCGAGAACAAAAATTCGTATGTTTTCTTCTTTTATTTTTCTTCTTCAGTTAATATTACTTGCGTTACCATAGGTACCACCATCCACCATTTATTCATCATTCTTAAACATCATTACATTTTATTTGTTTTGTTGTTGTTGTATTTCTTTGTATCGCATTACTTCATAACTACTACATACGTATTATTTACTTCTCGTAAAACAATTTCGATTATATCATATTATCATCTAAAGTAATTTAATAATTATAGTATTTTTATTGTCGATACAGTATTGTTACACTTCTACAAAAAAAATAATAACAACTATTTTCGTATTATTCCGTATTCTTGTCTATTTGTAAATGATCAAACTCAGATAGTGAAATTTTTTAGAGTAACATTTTGAAATCCAAAAAAAAAAAAAAATCGAATCTTAATACAATTTCTTGTATTTACTACTTACACAAGTGTATCACTCGTGTTTATTTTATCTTGTCCCTTGAAATAATTTAAAATTCAAATATTATTAGAGAAATGTATAAATAATAACTCGTATGTATTTATACCCTACACCACATTGTTGTAAGGGTATTATGTCTTTGTGCATTTGTTTGTAACATGGAGAAGAAAGAGAGATGGACTTATAGTTACTCATGAGGATCTTCATAGAATCACTTACTGAGTCGAGTTATGCATGTCGGTCCATCTGTCCATATATTCTTGTAAACAAAATCGCAGGTCGCATTTATTATCCGATTGAGATGAAATTATACAAACAATATTTGTTTGGCGAATCCTATTGGAATTGGTGAAAATCGGTTCAAATTTAGATATAGCTCCCATATATATCTTCAACCGATTTTGGGTTAATTGTGCACTAAATGGTCACTAACAGCACAAATGACTTGATTTTTGGCACATCGCACCGAACTCAGTCTTGAAGGAAGTACATAAAATTTGGTGAAAATCGATTCAGACAT